GTTTCCCCCCCCCTAAATGACTTGTTTTTTTTATCTAAAATGCTAAACCAGTTTTTCATGTTTAAAAAATTGCAGAAATGATAATTAGATCCTACTGTGTGCTTGTGCAATGAATATTGATTTTATTCTGGCATGGAATTGTTATAATTCCTTAATTGCTGATAGTAAATTTTTCTTCCACTTCTTAAAATTCATATTTAAATTTTTGTGATAGTTACTTTGCCTTTCTGTGCTAGTGTCTCTTGATATTTATTGTAAATTATTCAATATTAATTGAATATGAAAGTACAGTGTATTAGTTTTTTTTAAGTTTAATCTCTTTGTAAAAAGATTAAGTCACTTTGTTTTAGGTGGTATCTTATTGGGTTATTTTTAAGGAGAAATATGTCAAAATAATATTTTTCTTCTGATTTTGTATACATTTTGATTGACCTTATTTTTACTGCTTAATTAAACCTTGTATTGATAATATTGGTTTTTGTAATGTCTGCATTATAAAATGAAAATAATTTTTTACATATAATCATTAAGAACAGATTTAAAGAAATCTTGTTTTTTCTCCCCTGTTCTATAGTCCTGAGCTGGCAAAATTATTGAGCAATACGCCTAACAACTGGGAAGCTTGTAGATCAGCTAAAAGGTATGAAAATTATTTTTGCATTAATTATTTTAAATTGTTTTGCTATTTTACAAAGCACCAGCTTCCAACTGTATTTTTATTTTTTATCATTATATGATAATTGTTTTTAATATTCCATTATAATAGTAATTGCATTTTCAAAGAATACTTTTATTTCATATAATTATTCATGTAGCTAATTATGGTATATTATTCATTTGTTGAAGAATTTTATTTTAACAAAAGTAATAAAAAAAACTTATACCTATAATAAAAAAAAATCATATACCTCTATATAAAAAATTTTATCACTACATAGTATAAAACAAAAACACTTTCTCTGTCCTATATCCCCATGTATGCTTAAATCTTTAAAATAACGCAATGGGTTTTGATGCGGTTTTTTTTAATAGATAGAGTGATTAAAGAGGAAGGTTTGTATGTATAATAACATCCATTAATAGTGGAAAATACTGTTATTTTTAGGTTTCTAATGTGATGTCGTAATAATTATTTTTTTCCGCTTACATTGCAAACGCTGGCGAACCCTACAAGATTTATCAAAATAATGTACTAAATATTGTACACATTGAAAAGGTCTACAGATTTAAAACTGTGGGACGTACTGTTTGCGGCAGTAACCGGCCACAGGGTGGTAGGAGCGTGCCTATAAATAGCACGTCTGAGGCCGCGGTTCTCCCTATAGCCTTTGAATTTAGCAGCGATCGCACGCATTTATTATCGGAGCTCTCTAGCGAGCAAAATAACAATATACTTAATAAAAACGAGCTTTTCAGCGCGGACAACGTATCAGTTATTATAAGTAAGTTATGATAAATAATTATATGACAGTAGTTTTAAAATATAAATGATATTCTATTCTAAGCTTAATTTTTAAATCACACTTATAGTAATTATAAGTACATAAGGTAGATAGATTAGATTAAATAAAACCATAATTTATGGATTGGAATTTTCTATTAAGATCTTGGTTAAATTTTAGAGTTTAAATCAATTTAATATTAGAGAAATTATTTTCAAAAATCGTAATTTAAGGTGAGGTATGTAAGTTCAGAAAAGAACTAATAGAATACGTATCTTTTGTTGTTTGATGATTGTTGATTATCTTTTGTTTTTAGTTGCACGAATAGCAAATTATTTTTTAAGTATTTTTAATTTAATTAATCATTTTTTCAGTGAGTGACATAGGCTATATATTTTATACCCGTGCGAAGCCGGGGCGGGTCGCTAGTACATATATATACAAAATTTTATACCTATAATTGTAATTTATTAAAATTATTAAATATTGACTTTGCCAAAAAGAAGAGAGAGACTTACAGAAAGACTTCTAAATATTGTTGATAAAGACTTATATAAAAGAAATATTAATGATTAAATACTATATTTTTAGATCATAACACACAGAGTTTGAGGAGCCTTGTATTAAAATGTTTTACAGTTTTATGATATGGATGATTACAAATCCTGATTAATGCTTTTGCCTAATACAGTACAAAGTCCGAAATCCAGACGTCCAATATCCGGAATGATCTAAAATCCGGACCTCAAAACCACCAACGTTTTTCTCGTAGGCTTTACGAATGCGCATTTAATTCCCCCCCTCCGCGCATAATGAAACATCTGGAGAGTCCTGATTCTTAATTTCATTTTGAATCTAAATAAAATACCTTGTTATTGAAGAAACAATCATTTTAGCATAAGATTGTACAATCAGTAATTTGGCTAATTCAAATAATTTTCATATTACTCATTTTAAACCAAACTGTTTCAACACAGAATATGAAAAGATATTTTTATTAGTCCAAAGGGAATTTGTACCTGAGGGACTATTATTTTCAGTTTGCATTAAATCACTCTGAATGTCCGTTTCACTTTTCATACTATTGCCATCAAATATTATCGTCCTGTATTATATTTGAAGAATTTAAATAATGAAGATTCTGCATAAATGTATGTATATTTCTCGCATTCGGATGAAACAAGGGTACCTAGAGCCATCAATTTTGAATAACATAATCCTATTACGAATATGGGCATCTAGAATCCCAAATTTGGAATTTGTTTTATTATCGATTTCATATCTTGTAAAACTTTAATGAATTTTTGTTTAACAAACTCAAGAATTTCAAAGCAATGGCAGTGTTGTACAGAAATTTTTTTTTTATCTCTCTAGCAACTGAGACTGTGTATCAGAAATTCTAAAGATAGGCTTCTTAATTTAAAATTATTTTGCGATATTGCTCTTGAACTGAATTTTATGGTTTAAGTGCAGAGAACATGATATTTAATAAATAAAGGTAACATACAAAATATTTTTTAAATGCCCCTTTGGACATAATTTAAAATCTGAAACCTTTCAGATTCCTATCTAAGTAGTAAATTTATGGTTTATTAAAATATTTCATTAATATCAATTTATTATATTCTACTGAAAATCAATGTGGAAGTTCTCTGTGAAATTTATATTGGACATATTCAGGAAATGAATACAAATAATAGGTATGTTTCTCACTAGGTTTTAATTTATTGGCTTTCATTAATCACTTTTTTGATGCCATGTAAATTATTTTAAAAAATATTTTGTGTTACTTAATTGTGAAATGACACTGTGATTTCTTTTTCTGCTTATTAAATATGAAATTTTTACTAATAATTTTGTCTTTTTTAGAAATTTTGTTCCTTCTCTGGAAACATTCTTTGGTGTTGCTTCTAGCAAAGCAGATGCTACCTCTAATTTGAAAAGGTAACATTGCATAAGAGAGTAAGGTTTAAAATATATCATGATTTAAAAGTAGAATACTAAGAAGTAAAATCATTATTTACACTAAAATATAGCTATGATCATTGTCATACAGTTTATAATTTAATCTTCTCTTTTGTGTTTCACTTCTTAATTTCTTTAATATGATATATATTGCATACACAATTTGACAGTTAAATTACAAGACATTATGAAACAAAGGACAGGCTGCTTGTTTTTTATTTTTTTATTCAAAGTAATGAGTACCATGATCTAACAAAGTCTAGAATTGCCTGTGCAAGTGTCCTCTTGTGGTGCTTCCAAAAGATTTGATTAGACAACTCTTGGACGTTTTCAGTGCTGTCAAAGACAAGATAAAATTTCTGAGAGCTGCTGCATTGATATTCATAAGAAACCAATGGCCACATGCTGAGTACCTGTATCAGATTTAAGAGAATCCTCTAACGTAGGCATTGAAGGCAAAAACATGAACATAGGCAAAAAGTCGCATTGATAATTTGTCCCTCAAGAATTATTTACGATAAAAGTTTTCTTGCTGTTGCTCAAATACGCTTGACATTCTATTCACATTTTATGTTTAAAGCTGATTTCTCATCTCTTTTCTTTGATTGATAGTGACTTCTAATTAGAATTATGGCTTTTGATTATAGGATTACTATAAAAACATTTCATTTTCTGCAGCAGTCAATTAAAGTTTTTGTTTTTATTTTATTTATTTCTCTGACAAATTAGAATGATATCTTTTGTATACTAAGTACATGTTTTTGTTCAAGATTAAAAAAAAAAAAAAAAGAAAAGAAAAGAAAGAACTGTAAAGCAAATGGAAAAGCATGTTTTTTCTTATCCGTGTCTTTCTCTAAAACTTGATGAAATAACTTCCCAATTAGCATTACACTCATGTACCATTATCTTTACAACTTTCTGTAAGTATTCTCTAACTTCTACAGAGAGTTTCTCATAACAAACATAACTCAGATGTTTAGGCTTAGTTTCACCTTCATTCATTTTTACACCACTTTGGAAATGGATTGACCACTAGAATATTTCTGTGTGAAATAGTTATTTTCATATACATTAACTTATTATTATTAACTAAAATGTCTCAATAAGATCTCTTCCTCGTATAAAATAAACTTTAATGTTTTCACATTGTTTTATGCCGTCCCTGCTTATAGCAATGTTCTCTCTATAGCTAAATGGCACCATGATATATTTTAGGAGGCAGCATTGAAATTGGTAGATTGTCGATGCAACTTGGTCTTTGTATTGGCAATTATAAAATCAATCTCATTATTTAGTTGTCAGGTTGTGTATATATGAAAATGCATGTAAAATGAATGTATAATTTATAAAGTATTATGATCAGTTAGATTTTTATAATGCATCAAGGAGAAATAAAAAAATTCTGTATTCATAATTAATGATTCATAAATTGGCCATAAGCTGTGGCTAAAAATATTACATGAACCAAGAGAAAATACGTTTGAGCAGTATTCTGACATGAATTTCAATAAACAAAATTAAAGATGAAATGCTGATTTTTTTTTATTTATATATATATATATATATTTTTTTTTTTTTCCAGAGATTTTGAGGACAGCAAATACACATGGAAAGCTCTCAGACTTCTTTGTATGAAATCTCCTCATATTTTTACTGCCAGCACATCAACATCAAAAAGTGTTTCTGAATATTTAGAGTCAGTAGTTCAAAAGATTTCTAAGGAAAAATGTTTGGTAGTGAGTGTTAAATATTATTCTGAATATTCATTTAAATTAAAAATGATGTAAAAAGTCATGCATTATATTTATTTAATTATATAAGAAGTATTTAAAGAAGAAGTTAAATACTTTGATTGTAAGATGCAATATTTTTCCCTGTTATAAATATCTTTAAAAAGATACATCTTAAAATTAATGCCAATATTCACTTGCAGTTTTTCTGATTTACATATTTCCACATATTAACATTTTCTTTTTTGAAAAAAAAGTGTTAAAATGTTTGATTTACAAAGAAATGAGCAAGCTGTTATTCTTCCATGAACAAGAGGAATCAACAATTTGTTGACTGTTAGTCAGCATATAAACCAGAGGAACTGTAAAATGCAGGTTCGAGACAATTTCCTGTGAACCACAAATTTCATTTTATTGATCCAACACTAGCTCCTCATACATTGCATGTTGAAAGACTGTAATCCGAGAGTCTCTCACCCCTCTTCCTTACCACCAAACCACATGAGATGACTTTCCGCTTGCCATATATTTAGTGTCCCTGTGCTACAAAGGCACTATCTATACATTTACAAACATCCATGCTTTCTCCAGGATTCGAACCCGCGCTCTCCTACCACTATACTGTATAGGCAGCATTCTGTAGAGGTAATTTAGTTTAGTCTTCCAATTGTAAAAGTTTCAAAGTAAAATATCTATTGGGCCAAAATATTTAATAAATTAGGTTATGCATGATGTATGCTGTTATATCATATAAACTTACCCTAAATGATCATTATTGTTTTTTGCATTAAAAAAAATTCACATAGGAAAAACCTAATTCAAGATAAAATTGCTGAAGTATATTTTTTATGTTCTTTTAAGGAAATGTATTAATATTATTTTTGCTCAGCCAATAATTTGAGAAATTAACCTCTTTTAAACAATGTATAGCAGATTGCTTGTAACAAATGAGCATATAGCTGTTTCTCTCACTGCAGATTTTAAGTTTCATCCTAGAAAATGCCAGAAGAGATTAAAAATAATTCTGAATAATTTTGGAAACTGGTATGAGTAAAAAGATTTAAAGTAGGGCTAAAAAACAGTTTTAGATTCATGTAATGTATTAAAAGACATGTAAATATTGTTGACATATTTTTAGCATTTGAAATTATATAAAGTACTTACGTGAAAATGATTTTGGCACAGCAGTTGTAAAAAGATATTATAATTATCTTATTGATTTACGTTTGTAATTAAAAAAATATTACACACATAAATCACAAAGAAATATCAGTGAATGACTGAATTCAATCTCAAATACTCCTAATTTTTTTAAAACCAAACTTTTAAGGAGATCGATAAATTTGTTTTTCTGGTGCTGTAAAATCTATAATAATTTCAAATTAAATATCTTGTTCAATTATTATACAAGAGTCAAATTTATGTTTTATTTTTTAGAATGAGTATAAATGTTTTCTAAGTATATAGACCAGATAAAAAAGATTTCATTTTCTTTTACAAAATTGATTTTTCAAATTGAAAACTGACCAAGAAAGTCAAAGAAAAGTCAGTAAATTTAAATGTTTTAGTCAAAAATCTCGAAAATTCAGGGAATTTAATCTCCCAAAAAGGGATTTCCTTGCCAACGTTGGAAGCAATCACTTTCTTGCCGAATTATGTATCGCGTGAGCGTTATTCAGGCAGCTTAGAGCGTTAGAGCCAATCAGATTGTCTTTTAGAAGGGCAATGCAAGTTTCCAGCATCTTTGCTTCCAGTAACCTCCTAAATATGTTATGATATGCCAGATCTGCCTGTGGTGCGTATCATCAAGCACTCGAAGGCAAAAAAAATGTGTGATAGTAAACGTAAAAAAATATTTTTGAACAAAAGGAAAGTACAAGCACAGATTGAAATTTTGGAGGCCTTGGAATTTTTTTAAAAAAATTACATTTAATTTTATTGCATATGCTTATATTAAAAGTTCTGCATGAAAAGTCTGTTGACTTCTTTAAAAAAAGTGCTTTTTTGACATTTCAGAATTTAGCAAGTCTTGTAATATTACTGAGGTGATTGTTTGCCAATTACATATTATCTAATATCATAGATATAACTGGCTCCTTTGCTATTCCAGAATTTATCTGTAATACTTTTTAAAATAATATAGCTGTCATTTATGGCATAATTGTATTACAATTAATGTTGGAGAAAATCCAGTATTTATAAGTTATATGTAATTGTGAAATATTTGTGTTCTTAAGTGGTACCATAATTAATTTACCTTTAACACAGCCAAAGCACACTATGTGGATAGACTGGAACTTTCTTAAAACATGCCTGGAAAAGTCAGGGAATTTTCTTCTCCTGTTTGAGTGGCAGCCCTGTGCATAGCTTGAATATTTACATCATTTAAAACCTCTGTATAATTTGAAATCATATTCACAACTATTGTTTGTGAAAAGAAAAGCCATGTTAGGAGCAGAATATTTCTTTGATTTTATTCAACTAATGCTGTTGTTGACTCAGTAGCAAGCTACTTATGGAATCACATGTTCTTGCCATTAATGTTTTTATTGGTATTCCTAGTTTATTGATCAGATAATAATATCGAAAAAATTCAGCAGCTTTTGGTGATGAACTAATGCCTATAGCTTGGATAGCATATGAATCTGATATAAATAAATAAAGTGCCTAGAAAATTGCCGGGGAAGAATTGGGAGGATGCTTTTTAATATCTTATGTACTTATTGCAGAACAAAAGGAAGTCAGATTGCTTTATGTCAAAATCTGGTCTGAATTTTTCAAGCAAATTATAGCGATGAAAGTTATTATTTTAGGTAGAATTTCCTGCCTTACACAAATGCTAGTCATAAAAAGACATATCCATAGGTGGCATAATGCACTTCCTTTGGTCACAGAAACTCCAGCTTTTGAAGTCCTGTGCAACAACTTAAGTATCTTTGATTAGTTGGAATTAATTCTGAGCAGATAATAAATTCCAGCAAACTAATTCTCAGTAGATAGTGAAAATTTTATGCAAAGAAATAATTTCTGAAAAAGAGTTCAACATTTTAGCCAGCAAAAAACCTTGATCAGAATCAAACTGGTTTCTGTTTCATGAAAAAATCTCTTTGCACAAAGAAATTATCATCAGATGGTTTCATGGTAAAGAAAAATGTAACTGATTTTAACTATCTCCCATAGCCATTATTTTTTAGATATGTGATTTATTTTAGGTTCTGAAGTGAAATAAGGCAACTATTTTGACAAAGAAATTTAAAAGATAGCCGAGTTTCACAAAACCATTATCTTTAGAAATATCCTAAGAGATGTATAACATTAAAAAGATTGCATTTATGTAGAAGATTGAATACTGATAAAGATATTTTTGCTGTGCAAACTAAAAAACATATAAATTGCAGAAAATGCTATCCCGTTTAAAAGAATTCATTTGCATATCTTGTTCCATCCTGTATTACATATAAGAGCAGTTTTGTCTCTATGCAATGTTGAAAGTCCTTGTGAGGTTTGGACATCTTGAATGTTTTCTAATAATAAATTAACCTAACTTTTAAGAATTAATAAATAACCTAACTTTTAAGTTTCTCTGTTTATATTTCAGCAAGAATTTTCAGATAATTTAATGTATAACTCTAGCTGTATGCAAATTTTTAATGCTAAATTCATTCTTTTGAAAGCAACAAGATATTGTGACAGTTGAAGCTGCTGTAGCAGAAGATTCCATAGAAGATGGAAATGATGAGTTTTTACAAGAAGAAGATTCAAAAGAAGAAAGTAAAAATTCAAAAGAAGAAGGTACGAAAAATTCAAAATTTATAACTATTTTGTAGTTGCAAATATTTTTAATGTCTAAAATTTCTTTGGTGTTTTATATTAAAATTAATTATCCAATCATACTTTAATAAATTATTTGCAGTTTACTTAGCAATTCCTAACTTAAAATTAATTTTCTTTTGTCTTATGCTTTGCAGAAAAAGCTAAAAAAGAAAATGTTTTAAACAAAGTTTTAATTGAAACCATCTCTGGGAAACTGCAAGACCAGTGGCAGGTACTTGCATTAAATCTAGGATTTCAAGAAGATGAAATTGAATATTTTGAACAAGACTTTCCTGGGAAAAAATTACAAACACAACAGATGCTGACTGTTTGGATGGAGCGAGATGGTAGTCTAGTTGAATTTACTAAAGTTCTTCAAAGCTGTGGCATGCTAAACAATGTACTTCCACATCTTCCTGCTCAAGAATAAGAGAGCTTATAATTGCATTCTTAAGTCTGATTTATATTTTGTTAAATATATTGTACATTTTCATTGTATAATCTTCATTATTTGCCATGTGTCCTTTGTGAATAAAGAAATATCCTTTTTAATTTCTTGATTGCATTTCTACTACTCCTTTGACATTCAAACATTAATTTATTTGGATGTGTTTCCAAACTTTTTATGTGCTAAATAATTTATTTTCAAAATTCAGCAATTTTTTAACATTGTATTACAGTACATAATAGTCCATAATCTGGTTAGTTATGGTTCTCTAGTTGTAATAGTTACAAAGTCCATAATCCGGACTCGTCGGGACTTTGGCGATTCCAGATTAGGGGTTTTTCTGGATTATAGATCATCAATTTAAATCTGGTAAGATGGCATACAGAAATTATACAATTAAAAATATGAAATCCTAATTTATGAAATAAAGAACAGTTATGATGTAAAGGGTATCAAAATTTACAGAAAAAAAGCTTAATATTTATTTGTTTACTTTATTAAACTCTGCTTTCAGTGTTGTTTAAGATGCTTCCACAAAAAATTCAAAAAGTTCCTTTTTCTTGTGTCATATAGAATGGACTTTCCAATGCCATACTTTCTCGCATAATTTTGAGACGGCTAGGCTTTTATCCATTTTTTACAGCAATTCCACTTTTTGTTTAATGGACATCAAAACATGCTTTCGCTTTGTAGATCCTTTGGCAGCTTCAGAACTGGAAATTCTTTTTGGCGTAATGGAAAGTTAGCTTAATTTTTATAAAATTTTTCTAACAGTCTGCAAAAAATAATAAGCCAGATCCAATTAGAAGATTAAGAAACAGTGCAATCTGCAACATTAACTGAAATGCCTTAGATAATTTTAGCCTAGCTTATGCCATCTGTTATACATTAAACGCGCATGAGTAAATGCAAGTTTGTAGCTTTGAGGTCCAGATTATAGATTATTCCGGATTACAGACTTTGTACTGTAATACATTTTTATGCATTCATTAGGACTTGGCATTAACTTTCTTGCTATCTCTTAGAGGAGCAATTTTTCCACTGGTTGCCTCAGTGTCCTTGAATTTGGTAAGCTAGAGGAATGATAAAAAGGGGTCTATGGTATAGAAACCAAATATCCTACTACAAGGCAAAAATTAACTTCGAATTTCCTGTGAATTCCCTTTGCCAAACCACCACACATTTATACTTTTTTTTTTTTTTTTTTTTTTTTTTTTTTTTTATACAAAGCTAAATTTGTATAAAGAGTTTCCATCTTAAATAGTTTTAGTTTAAATACTTGTTTTTGGTGACTTTGTAACATGATAGCCTCACCTGTAACAAAGTGGATTAAACTTCTAAATTACTGTAGTTTGACGTAACTTTAAATCCCAACATACGGGTTAGCTGAATAGACATTTTTGTGCTTTTCCTGATGTATAAAAGTGTTGCATGAAGACATCCTTGCCCTTAGGTGGGCTATTATTGTAATGGACTTTGTCATTGACAAATAATACAATACAATCAACAATGTTATGATTTTTCACACTGAAATTTCACGCTTACAGAGACTGAGTATTGTCTGTGAAAAGGTTGTAATTTCTCTTATTAAGTTTATAACAGAGCAATAAATTTTAAGATTTTGTTAGAAAATCTCGTCTTATTTTCCTATTATGTTTCTAGAAAGTCTGCCTTATTTTTCCTATTATGTTGCTAGATTCTGTGACAGTATTAATTATCCAAGCTGTCCAGCATATTGCCAATCTTGTGGCAGACCTTTAATTTAGCTTCCAAATTTTAAATACAAATATATTGTGCATTAGTATAATAAACTGAAAAAATTAAAAACAAAACAGGTATTTCTTAATCAATTTTATCTTTATTTTAGTTTTAAGAATATTTTAGTATAACTTATAATATATCTAATTGATAAATCTTTAATAAGCTTGTATACTAACAGTGATTAATAAAAGCATTTATGATGCTTTACAGGATGTACTTGATAATTAGCATGCAACCTAGCCTCCAAGTTATTTATTTTTTTCATTATTTATTAATATTTGATTTCTAATGAAATTTATGAAGTATGGATTTACTAATTCTTCATAAACCCGATTTTCCTCTCCAACAATAGAGTTTTAATTTTCTTGTGTCAAGTAATTAATGTAGTCAAGTAAAATAAACCAATTACATCGGTTTGTTCCTTTTTGAGATATTTATCTCACATAACTGTAAGGCAGCTAGCAATTTTATGACATTCAAATACATCTAAGATATTTATGTTTAAGGGGATAGATATCAAAGTTTTAGGTGCTGCAAAATAATGACATTATTCATTAAAAATAAATGTGGGTTTGTAGGGACAAGCTGTTTTCTGAAAACTTCAAAAGTCATTCATTCCATTTAAAAAATACAACCATTTTTTATCTTTCATGGGAGAAGGAAATAAAAAATAAGTTAAACTAATTTTCTTAGAAATTTTAAAAGGAATAAAAGTAGAAAGAAACCAAAGACTTAAAAATACTTCATGAATCAATCTATGCTGTGACACACTTTTTTTTTAACAAAATGTTGAAATAGCCTTTCCATTTTAACCACTTGATTAAAACAGTATTAATTAGGACTAGAATTTAAAATCAGGTAGTTTAAACACAGAAGTAAAAGTATATAAAATTTAAACTTGCGTCTTTTAAAGTTTTTATATTTTAATTCCTTACTGAAATCACATTTATTTAGTAATTATTCTTAAACCTTTCTGCAAAATGACAATTTTTTTTTAAATTTAACTGATAATGATTAATGTGCTCCTGTTCCACAGTGTAACCAGAATGTGTTAAGCAGTCATGAGATGTCTGCTTTGTCAATGCACCTGCCTTTAGCTCTTCTATCACTTCAACAATTTTTGCCATTTCACAGTTGTTTTCACTACTCAAATATTATGTTGATCACAAGGCTGAAGTATGGAAATAGTGCTGTGAAGCATGAAAACTACTGTAATGTATTTTAGTATCACAGTTTGCAAACTTCACTTTATCAGAAGATAGATGTTGCAGTTAAAAAATCACCAAGCTATTCATTCATTAATTACTAAAAATCATTATATTATTCATGCCTTTATTTTTTTATGTTATTTAATTAATGATCCAAAACCCGCAATGCCATCATGAAGGCATTCTAAAATGGATAGTTTTTATGTCTACATTAAACACACAGGAAAAACCATGAAACCACCCATACAGTCGCCTGTTTACCAGGACTGTAGCTGGGCTGAACTACCAGTGGCAGTCTTATTCCCTCAGCCCATTAATGGGTTTTGATTTTTTTTGGCACTTACACACTAATAATTAACATGTATTTTTTTAACACCTATAAAAAAAGGGCTTCCATTTACAGCAGCAGTCTTATAGCAAATTTGTCCCCAAACAAGTGTATATGTTTAAAACATAATAATAATAATAATAATAATCATAAAATCAAGCCTAAATTTATTATCACAGCAGATACCGCACGATAAAACTCAATAAAATTATTTTTATGCAGCTTATGTTTATGCTGCATGCAAATCTGCATCTTTTTTCTCATTGTGCATTAATAAAATGTTTTCTGTGTGTTTTCCCCTCTTCCTTAGCATAGGGATTCTCAATCAGGGAAAATGCCATCAGCCTTTTATTTACCTGTTAAGCAGAGTACTTCTAAGGTGTGCATGCACGCCTTTAAAAAATTTAACACACAAAGAAAATTAACAAGCACACACATAAACCAAAAATAACAGTAATAATAATAATTAATTTTTACATTACTTTTAGAATAAATATGTTAAAGATTTGTTGTAATTTAATACACATGCTTGCGTTGTTCATTTCAGTATAAATTTGGATCGCATATAATGCTGAATGGTTAAATTTTAAAGATAGAAAAGATTTAATATATACTTCATATTTAACGTAGCATTTATTTATTTAATTTTGATAACTCACAATTAAAGTTAAGTTATATTTTAGAAAATAGTTTTGTTATGTTTACATGTATATTCATTAATTCTTATAATTAATAAATATTTTTTAAATACATGTGTTTTTTGAAAATAATGGATATTATTAAAATAGAATTAATTTAAATATCTAAGTAAGTAAAAAATAAAAGTTGCACAAACAACTCCTCTCTAGTGAAAAAAGGTGCACAGATCAAAATAAGTTGCATATCAGTAGTCAAGAACTAGAGGGAACAGTATTATTGTTAAGTATTTAGTTGTAGTTTGTGAATATAAAATACTATTTTATTCAAGTTTTGGCATTTATCAACACCTTTTTATGCTTTTTCTTGTTTAATTAATAAAACATATTAAAAGATAATCTAAACTTATGTAAATGTATTTACATAAGTAAAAAGTAAATATATCTTTTGAGTTTGGGAAAAAAGGGAGTTGATCATTTAGCAATGGCGAAAGAGGGTGAATGAGGCAAAAATGGTTGAAAACCACTGCTTTAGCAAGTAAATTGTACACAACGGCTTCTACAAATAATGTAAATAAGTAATTTTGTTTTGCCAAAATCGTTAAATCAGTTTTATATAGATGGAGATGGGAATTAATAGTCAGAATTTGTCAAACACACAGTGAGGAGGATGATATCATATAAAGCAAAGTGAACCCCCCTCCAAAATCCCATATTCCAAACAAATGAAAAACAAACAGAAGGCGTGATTATGATGTCACTGTTCATTGTCAAGGAGCAGCTAATACATACCAAAATCTATTCTTTTCTGAATATATTTCTGGATGAATTTTGATAATTTAAAAGGGAGAAGTAGAAAGAATCAGTAAAAATCAAAACAAAAATTTATAATTTATAAAAATTCATTCAAAGAAATGGACCTGCCTGAAACTTCTGTATGTATATGTTTGAAAATGAATTCTGTTATCTCTTTATATAAAACACATTTTATTATAAAAAGATAATTTTTTTCATTACATTTTATTAGGTCAAAAAGGAAATGAAGAAAACTCTAAACTACACAATGGGAAACTGACATTAAGAAAAATATGGAATGGATCTTTGTTAGATGAAAAGAAATCGTGAAAGAGTATTTTATGCTTCTCCTTCAGATGCAAAGGAATGACTACTGTACTCAGTTTCACTTTTAAAGAAGAAACCACTTTCTTGTTGAATGTTCTGACTTCCTTTTTTATCTCTCCGGCTTACAGGAACGCCGTCGAATCTTTCGACCAACTGTTGCAGCCATTTCATGAAAACCCTATCTTGTTTCGTTCCTGTTAATGGCGAGTGGTAATATATATGCACAATTCTACTTAACTGTTCCTTCAATCTTTTGACATCATCAGTATATTGCCTTGCAATTTTCGAAACATTCCCCTTCTTTTTAACATGCTGAAAAAATGCTTCCAACTCAGATTTCGAAAGCTTACCGCCAGCTTCTCGGATGCATTCTTCAACTCGTGAATTGGGGGGAATCTCTATCCTTCCGACGGGAGGAGCCCTGCGACGTGTTGGAGTCGGTGGTTCGGTTACAGCAGTATTAGATGAGTGGGCATTTGCTGTCTGAGTTACGGTTTCTGGCTGACTAGAAGTAGGAGCATTTAACGAGTTGCGATCATCTTCTGAATCTGAAAAGAAGAAATGAATGATATTAAAACACAGTTAAAGATTTCTTTTTTTTTCCTATGAGCAATTAAGATGGTTATGACATTGAAAAGAATACTGTTATTGATCTCTAAGGCATTCATTATGGTCTCCAGAGTACATTTAGAATTCCATTCCTTGACTACATTTAAGTTTAGAACAAACTTCACAGTTCATTCTAAAACATGATCTCCAGAACAAAGTTGCAAAATTATAATATTGTTACGAATGTTCTTCAAAATTGCAAAATTATAATATTGCTACAAATGTTCTTCAAAATTGCTGTTAAGTGCCAGCTGTGAGAAGACATTTTTGAAATAAAAAAAAAAAAAAAAAAAAAAAAGAGTTTAGAACTATTTAAGACATAAATATGTTGTACACTTTGCATTTTAGAAATCATTCTATGCCACTGGTTCTAAATTTTTTTTAGCCCCATGCACCCTTTTTACCATTACTGGAAATCATTTCCCTGTCTCCTTTCCAAAATTCGAAAACTACATATAGAAATTCATTTAAATTTAGATTATTTTTAACTCGTTTCATTAATTAAGCAAAAAAAGGGGGGAGACATGGAAAATGTTGATTAATACCAAAACTTGAATAAAAGTTATTTTATATTCACAATCTGTAACTGACTACTTGACAGATGAATAGAAGGCTGACTGCATTCCTCCCTAAAGCTATGGAGTTGCCCTTTAGTGAAGAATTCACCCCTGGTTGAGAAGCCCTACTCTATATTCTTTAAATAACAGCAACTGAAGCAATGAGATAGACTTTTATAATGCAAACAACGGTTTTACGAACACGTTAGGTTAGGTTATTTGAATATGGTAAACCCACAAATGTTATCTGCCTAAGAAGAGAGAGATGCCTTCATGGAAGACTCGCTTGTATTCACGTTACATGCATGGGAAAAACCATGAAAATCAACCGTGTAGTCAGCCCGTTTGCCGGGGATCGAACCCAAGCCAGGTAGAAACTACCAGTATTCAGCAGTCTTAACCATTCGGACAGAGGTTATGTTTTGTGAACAGGAAAAAATAATAATATAGTTTTAAAATGGTGGAACTAAAGTTTTATTTCAAAAATAAATATAAAGTTTGAATTTATTCTCCTATCTTCCATTTTTACACTTTTTAGTTATTTGTTTGTGTATCGAGTGGGGGCGGCAAATTCAGAAAATATCGAAACTGCCCCAAGGTGACCCATATATGATTAATGACAATTTTGGTTTACTGCGATAGATATACAAAATATGGCTTACAGCAGTGGCCTCAAACCCCCAAAGCAATTCTATGTGGTCTGCGAGTACAGTTCAATTATGCATCTGTTGCAAAGATTTAATTTTATTATTTGATGTACGAGTTTATTTTATTTTAGTATCCGTTAAAAATGAACATAAATAGCGCACCAGAAAATATGTAAATGGAGCTAATTAATTTACAGTGTGATAGAAATCTTATTCAAAGATTTGAAAACACAGATTTTAAATTTTATTCGTACTTATCAAAAATAAATAAATTATTTAACAATTTTTGCACAGAATATTCGCTTTGTTCGGAATAGTAAGCATAATAACGAAATAATGCAAAATGGCATTTTGTTTTCACAGTTGAAAATTCATAAGAAAAAAACAGATACAGATTTGAGAACACAGATTTTAAATTTTATTCTTACTTATCAAAAAATAAACTCAGTTACGAATTTTTGCAGAGAATATGTATGCGCTTTGTTTGGAATATTATTAAGCACAATAACGAAATAATGCAAAACGCCATTCTGTTTTCACAGTTGAAAATTCATAAGAGAAAAACATATACAGTCAAAAGTCTTTAATCCAGACTCGACGGGACTTCGGATTATCGGTTTTTCCGGATTATAGATCATCAGCTTAAATCTGGTAAGATGGCATGCAGAAATTATAAAATTAAAAATATGAAACCGTAATTTATGAAATAAAGAGCAATTATGGTCTAAAGGATATCAAAATTTACAAAAAAAAAAAAAAAAAAAAGAGCTTAATATTTATTTGTTTACTTTATTAAACATTTCTTTCAACACGCGCATGCGTAAAGCATACATTACGCATAGTCGAAATTAGAAAATTGCAACCAGAAAACTATTTGATGTGCATTCGTGATATTTATGATGACAAAGAATTTGATTTAAATCAAATCAAAGACGGAGTACATCGAGATGAAATACTACATTTAGTAAGGAAATATAAGCCAAAAAAATATAAACATCTGCCCTGAAGATAAGGATTGTGCTGACAGATCAACTCTTCCAGTTCATTGCGCGTCGCGACGTCCCTCCCCCCGCAGAGCGGCGTGAAATTGATAAACAGATTTCGGAATGGTTAGAGAAACAAAGGATATGCCTTTATCAATTTTTTGCAGCAATTCCACTTTTTGTTTGATGGACATCGAAACATGCTTTCGCTTTGTAAATCCTTTGGCAGCTCCAGAACTCGGCAATTCTTTTTGACATTAATCGAATGTTCAAGCTTACTTCTTATAAAATTGCTATAACAGTCTGCAAAAAATAATAAGCCGGATCCAATTAGAAGATTAAAGAACTACGCAATCTACAGCATTAACTGAAATAGACAATTAGATCATTTTAGCTTAGCTTATGAAAGTTTGTAGCTTTGAGATCCAGATTATAGATCATTCCGGATTAAAGACTTTTGACTGTACAGTCATTAAGTTATTTTGATGCAAGAGATGTGAAAAATATGTAACACTGACGTCGGGGCTCGAACCTGGACCTCTGGACATACACCACGAAGCACGCTTGAAGGAGGAAAAAATACTTTAAATACTTCTCCTTTAAAGAGGAGACTAGGGATTAGGGATCCAATCGCCAAATTCTGGTGGTGAAAATTATTATCCACCATCTTTTAGTTCGGGTGCTACTGTAGAGTCATTAAGTTTTTTGATGCAGGAGACGAGAAAAATGAGCAACGCCCTCGTCAGAACTCGAACCTAGACCCCTCGAATATGTGTCGAGTGTGCTACCGTTACATCACAAAGGCATGTTGGAAGGGGAAAAAAAAAAAAAAAAAAAATTCCAATGAAAATGTTCCGGCTGATGCTCATTGTCAGTTATCCTTCTTTGCCGATTTTTATTTATTTTTTTATTCATTTTTTTTTTAAATAACGAATCGTCCGCTGATTTTTTTAGATTTCAGTCAAAGAAACGCATTAATAACACAAGATTTTTTTAAGAGGAGATATTCGTTTCAAGTTTATCCAGTCTTCCCTCTTCTATCTGAAAATATAAATTATTTTTATTTTTATGAAAGTAAAGCACAGTAATGAAATTTCTTTTAACACAAGCCAACTGTGATTGGTTTCTTTTAAAATATTAATTTTGAAAGAAACAAATAGTAACTTACTGTAGAACATTCCTTTAAACGAATCATTCTTTGAAAAATCTGCGCTACTATATAGTAGATTCTCCGAACGGCATCTTTATCTCTGACCTAAGTCTTATTTTTCGTCGAAATCGGGGCGAGGGGGGTCAGGATGAAGCTTCTTCCCCCTTACGTTCCTAAAATATTTCCAGCATTACCTCTTCTTCCACTGAAACCACATTAGCTAAATTTAAAATTTTCTTTTTTAAATCACATTTTCTTGTTTATTCTTTGCTGCATTATCTTGAAATTTAGAATTTCATTTTTCCAGTTAGTCTTGCAAATGTAAAGTAAATCTCTGAAGAATTTTATGTTTTATTCTTTTTTGAATTTAAGAACCACTTTATTTTATTAATGGCATCTATATAAATTTGTTTGTTATATGATTATTAAATTTTTTTCTTGAACTAATGGTTTCTCATAACAAAATTCATACCGAAAAATAAGGTGAAAGAGAATACTATCAACTACCTATTTACCCTGTCTAAAAAATACCAAGTTTCCTTATCGCAGAACGATGGGAAAATTACATGCCACAAACAATCAGCACTAGTGAAAATACGTAAAAGAAAAGAAAAATCTGTGGTTTAACAGTAATTACAATCTGCCAGATTAATATTGTTAAAAACCAAAAGAACAGAATTTTTTCCCCGAAAATGAATCCAGTGGCATAGGAAATACTGTTTTCTAGTGCCACATAAACTTAATTTCTTCGAATCTAAAAATGTTTATTCTTCCGTTATGCACAATGCGTTCTTTTTGCTTCGAAAAGTCCTTTAACATACGTAATCAAATGAACTCATTCTACAAATTACATAGCTTGTAAACAACGCCAAATTGTAAACAGTAATTTTCAGTTAATTATTAAACAAGTCTTTTAGCGCAAAAGGGGCTAAGTAGATCCGAAATGGGATTTTGCGGTTCACCACAAACGGCGTATCGCCGCTCGGATGGAAAAAAGTGGTTGGTGATTCTACTAAAGAGTCTGGGTTTGAATCCCGGAGAAGGCACGGGTGTAATCTATCCGTCCCTTTTCATAGGATGCGGCCCACCTATTAGGTGCCGCCATAATAAAGAGGCCACCGCTTCTGGCCTCAGTAGTCGGCAACGCCTATAAACGGCTAGAGCCAGCCATTAGAAAATAATAATAATAATATAAAAAAAGAAAAAAATCTGAAAGCTTTCAGATTTTATATTAGGTTCAAACCGGCGGGGTTCCCCCCCCCCCATTTACAGATACAAACACGTTTCGAGAGCATTTCGGCTAATGCCATATTGTGCTAAAAATACACTGGTGAAATAAATTAAGAGAATTTGCATATTTTATCGAATTGCATGAAAAGAACTGAACTGAAGGAAAAAAACCACTGCTTCTAGATAAAAATGGAAATCTTTTATGACAAATACGTAAGCGTACACATGTGTAAGACGAATTGCGTTCGCTAGCACATCTCGGCGAATTTCTTGGTGTTATCTTGCAGCAATCAGTTATACTCACATCGGAACAGTAAAAATTAGTAACCGCCAACGTTTGGATGATGGAATGAGGTGGTGAATTGTGGGGAG